TTGGCCATTACATTAGATTAAATATAGCTTTTCTACAAATTCTATTCTCTCTAACCAAATCTAGGTGAGTCTTGACTATTCTAGTAGGTTTAGGTCACAGATAATTCTAAATTAGCTTAGCTCTAATATTACTTTAGTTTTAGTTATTTTATTATCGTCTGAGCTTCAATTCTTGCATGTAATTTATTACCAAGTAGTTTCATATAAACTCTTAACTATATTTTACTAAATAAAGATAGAGACAAGACCTCACCTCAACCTATGGGTTGAAATTAAAAAAAAAAAGCTATAATAACTATAAACAATTACATAATAAAGCAGTACAACAAGTTAAAAAAATTATCAATTTATTCATAGTATTATGAAAAAGTAGCATAAAACCAAATATACTTTAACTTTAAATATAGGTAATTTTAAAAAAATTATTGTTATTTGAAAAAATATAAAACTAAAACTAAATATATATAACTTTGAATTCAGGTAATTTGGTAAAAATTCAAATTCCAGATATTAACAAACTAAAGTTAAATAGGCATTTATTGCCTTGTAAAATTATACAAAAAAAATCTGAATATAATTTTTACTAACTTAAATGCAAGTTTGGAATTTTAAATATATAGTATTTAGCAAATGAATTAGAACTATTAGACACTAATAAATATCTAGCATTTGATGTTATTCTACTTAGTATTTTTGTTTTTTTAACAATACCACAGTTTAACAGAGACTAACACATTCAATACAAATAGTATAAAATAATACTGATAATTTATCTATTCAAGACCAAACAACCTTACAAGTAAAAAAAAAAATTCAAAAAAAAGTGATACCAGTAACTGTCATTATAGCAAAACAAACTGTAAAACTAAAAGCTGTTTATACTACAAAAACAATGCACTTTGTACTAGATATTGTAGTTGTGTATTAAGAGGCAAATATAATAATAATTAATATAGCAGTTATGATTAATATATAATTTTCTTTTTATATTGCATAATTTTTTTTTGAATATAATTAATTTTTTTTTATAATATTACTAATTTATTTTTTATAAACAATTAAGATAATATTTTTTTCATAATTTTTTTTATAATAATTAATCAGTATTACTCTTACTAATTGTTATTTAATATATGTTGAATTGCAATTTTAAAATAACATATATTATTTTACTATTAATATAGATTATGAAGTGATATATAACATATATTTGAAAGTATTATAAGAAGCAAAATATGATCTAGCTGTAGGCATATGAGAATATAGTCATGATCTGAACTAAGGTCTTGAACTGAAGCTTCTTAAACCAAGATCTCAAACTGAAGCTAAGCTGCAGAATCCTGCATATAAAAGTAGTATTTGAATAAAATATTATATTGGGTTTAGTTCAAAGTGAAGCTTATTGAATAACAGCTTTATGTTATAATCATGTAAATAAATCATTATTAGCTTGTAGATTTCTCTCTAATACTCAATTTAGTTAAACTATATCAAAGCTTCTACTATATTTCTCTTGTATAAAAGTCTTTTAATTTCTGTTAGTAAAAAGACAACTAAGTAGATAAGTTATTGTTGAATATTAATAAAGATATACCTTAAAACTAGGATCTTAGTAGCAGTAAGATTCTTGGTTCTCAGATCAAATTTTCTATGTCTTCTTTTGAGTTGTTTTGTATCTTTATATTATATTATATTTTAACTATGAAGAACATAGTAGCTCCAAATTCACCTTTTATATTTTAGTAATAACTATAAGATACAATATAAAAACTATAAGATGTACTATCAAAAAAAAAATCTAAATCAAAGCTAAAGTCTTGAGACAAGAAGTGGGTAAACCTGCTTGTAAGTTACAAATAGATATACAAAAATGGAGTATAAAATGAACCTGCTTGTAAGTAATAACAATAGAGCCTAGTATGACAAAAAATAAAACCTGTACCAAAAGAAAGAAATATCTTCAGACTAAAGAGCTATGATAAAAAGAAACAAAAAAAAAATATTACTGCAAAATAAAAAGAGATCCAAGTTTAGGTAGTCTTAACTTGTATATATATTCCTTACTCAAGTTATTTCTTATCTTTTTTCAAACTAAAGTTCAAAGACTTTTTCTTCAGACTCAAGTTCCAAGTTGAAGCCTTCCTCCTCTTCTAGCTAAAGATAAAATGTTCTGTTCTAGTTCTGTCTAGTAAAGTTCTTTTAATTTTTATATGAGATATATAAAATAAAGTTGAAGAATTGTGAGTAACCTAGCTATAGATATATTAGAATATAATCATGATTTGAATTAAGGTTTTAAACTGAAGCCTTTTGAACTAAGATTCCAAACCAAAGCTAAGCTACAGGATCTTGTATATGAAAGTAGTATTTGAATAAAATATTATATTAGATTTAGTTTAGAGCAAAGCTTATTGAATAACAGTTTTATATTATAATTATATAAATAAATCATTATTAGCTTATAGATTCTCACTTTTCAATACTTAATTTAATTAAGCTGTATCAAAGCCTCTACTGTACTTCTCTTGTATAAAGGTTCTGTAATTTCTGTTAGTAAAAAGATAGCTAAATAGATAAGTTATCATTGAATATTAATAAAGATATACCTTAAAACTAGAATCTTAGTAGTAGTAAGATTTTTGGTTCTTAGACCAAATTTTCTATGTTTTTATTTAAGTTGTCATGAGTCTTTGTATTATATTAAGTTTTAACTATAAAGAATCTAGTAGCTTCAAATCTACTTCTTATAGCATTCAAAAAAAAAAAGTATTACTAATCATGAAGACTATATTTACTATAGTATGAATAGGTTTTTTTTTACTTTATAAAAGCTTTCTTATATATTTATTATTTTTATTCTAAACCTTTTGTTTTTTTTTTTATTTTTTCAGATTTTTTTGTTAGTTTAATGAATAGATAATCTCTGATCTGAGATAATTATAATGAAAGAATTTGCTAACATATTTTTTTTGTTTTTTTTTTACAAAATGATAAAATATTAATTATATGATTGAAATAATCTTGGATTTGCACAAAATAATAATAGATTAATTAATAATTATCTGAGAATTGTTAATTATTAAAAAATAGTAATTATAGTCAAACTTCTATAAGTGCACCCCTCTGAGACCAAGCATTAGCATGCACTTAGAGAGGGTATGTACTTATAGAATTATAGGTTTATATTACACAAATTTTATAACCAATTAAATAACTTTTAGTGTATTAATAAAATACTAATTCTATAATAGATCTATATAAAATAATTTATACTTCAATAGTTCAAATAAAGTTTTATAGTTTAATAATACAAACAAACAAATCTAATTATTAATTATTTGCATATAAAAAATCAATTTAAATTTTTAATGCAACTTTTTTTTGAAAAAATTGCAAAGTATTTTTTATCAATATAAAAAATCTATACATAATTATTGATCAAATAATTTGCTGATACATAACAAAAACATAATTTGCTAAATTATATCACAAATTTCACAGGTCTCTGATGTACTGTATTATACTTGCTATCAAATTATAAATATAGTACATGTGATTTTTAATTCTTCACTATTAAAAAAATCAGAGTATTGCTATATACAGTACTATATGGTATAGTGAACTTAATTGCAATTAATTGAATTTAATTAATTTCATAATACAGTAATTTTAATTAATTTTAATTGTATGACATATAATACTATAAAAATTAATTGCAATAATTTTTAGATAGGTTAGGAATATTAAATTGTGAATCTAGTTAGTTTGATCCTAGAATCTAAATTCTTATAACTGATATTACTATATAACTTCAATACTTGCAACAATTTTATAATATTTTCATTTGACTTATGAACTAATTTAAGGAGCAGTCTGCAGTTAAAGGGTATAAAAATACAGTGAGTATTTTACTATAACTTTCATATAGTGATAGAATGTTGAATATTTCTGATAATAAAGAAAACCTATATAGTAAAAAATAAAAAATTTCTTAATATATTGTGATTTACATAACTGATTTTAATAGTTCTATTATCATTAGAATAATAATAACATGTTCTATAACTTTAATCAAAGATTCAAAAGATGTTTATTTAGTAAAAAAAAAATAGGTTCATTACAATGAATTAGCATTCTACTACTATAAAAAATTTATAAGTTCTAACTATGATAATTAGTAATTATTATACTCTTTAACTACAAACTACCTCTTAAGTATTACATATATCTAATTATTTCGATTTTTATTAAACCAAAAAGCTTTGAATACAGTCACAAAACTATCTTTACTAATTTCTTCTATACTTCAAATTCATTATAAGAAATTCTTGATACAATACAAAAATAAAATTAATCCTAGAACCTGGTTCTAGATTGCAATTAAATCTAATCAAAATATTCACATTTTTTTTAAAAAAACTTTTTATTAAAGTACAAATACTGTAGAAAAAAAAAAAAAAAAAAAAATACAAAAAATTTCATAAAAAAAACTTTTAACATACTCAAACTAAGACTATAAATGATTTATTAAGTCATATATATACCTTTAAAAAAAAAAAAAAAAAAAACTTGCTAATTGCAAGAATTTCTTCTTGTCAAAGACTATTGCAAATGCACTATTCAATGTTAAATTATCATTACTTCGTATACTTTTATATTGCAATAAAAAACTTACTAAAATAAATCTATTCACTTACTTTCTTTTTACAGTACTATAGTCTATTTAAAATACTTATCTATATAAGTTTGTATAGCTAAACTTGATATCACTCTTCTGATGAATTTCTTAAGAAAATTAATTGATTTTAATTGCTTATTAGAACTTTCCTGCTGAAGTAAAAATATTCGAACATTTTCTAAGCTATTTAATACTAAACTACTATTAATAATTGCAGGCTCTATACTATTATCTATTTTATTATCTATTTCTTCAATATTGTCTTTATTTATAGCTTCAATATTTTTATTATTTTGAATATATAAGCCAGCTCTTTAATAGCCTAATCTTCTAAAAGCACTTCATAAACAACCTCTTCACTATTAATATTAAGAAATTCATTAACTTCTATAGTATTAAGAAAGCAAAGTGTATCAAGTGAACTAATAAGTTCTCTAAGCCCTGAATTATTAGCTTCATAAAGATTATTTAAATAACCTGTACTAGGTAGAAGAATTTGAGTATAATACTCATAATTACATATAGTATCAGCTGAAACTTCTTTCTAACCCTTTATAATATATTGAATTTCCTGTAAAACATTTATCTTCAGATTTAGAACAAGATTTCTTGCTTCTATTTGCTCTAATATCTACTTAAATTTAAAAAATTAATTTAATAAGATTATATAAAATTAATTAGTCTTCATAATATAGCCAAGTCAAAATTTAAAACTTTTTTTAAAAAAAAAGCTAGCCAGCTAGATTTATCTAAAATTTTGTATTATAAAAACCAAAATATTAAATATATATTGCTTAACTATAAAAAACTATACAGTAGTATAAAATAAAATAAAAAAGTAAAAATAGTTCTAATTTTTAAACTAACTTCTAACTAACCTGAGATAAAACTAACAATAGGCTTTTTTAAAAGCCATAATTACTTTTGCATTCATTAGTTGCAACTTTGATATTGTATTTTTAGAAAAAAAATAAATATCTACATGCTAAAGAGTTAACCTATCTAATTTATGACTAGAGCAATTATTAAGAAGTAAAAGAATACAGGTCTGGCGATCTTAGTGTAGTGGTTAGGTTGCCAGACTGCCATGCAAGAGGTCTGGGGTTCAAATCCCACTGTCGACGAATTTGAATAATTACCTGGACCTTTGTACCCAACTTACAGTAAACTCTGCTCGTTTCTGGGAGTTACAACCCTGTAAATCATATTGCACCAATATCAATCGGATATTGGAAGTGTGACACAATACTCAAGTTACATTACATGAATAAATCTTGATAGGATCTATAAGCAGGGGACCTGCATGGTAGAAATCCCAAGTTTGGTGAAGTAGTACAGATTTCGACAGTCAAGCCGGTTAACGTCTAATTCAGTGAAAAACCTGAGTTTGAAGGATGTGAGATCGATAGGTGCAAGTAAGTTCACTGTGTAATGTAGCCTGGTGCCTTTATTAGTGGCAACACCAACTTGGCTTGGTGGCTAACTAGATTGGAAGAATCTATCTTGTAAAACATCTGGCTGGAACTTGGAGAACTATATCTGGTGGATGGCCACAGCAGGAACTGAGTTTGTACGAACATCGACAAGGGTCTAATCTAGGTGAATCTGTGAAATGAGCATATGACTACTCTGGTAAGAAATACTTCTGAGGTTAACTGGAGCTCTATAGCTTACAATACATTGGGCATACATATCCCGAGAGGACCTAAGCTGTGCAGAGAAATAGATTCACAGGTGAACCAGCTGGCATAAGCAGTTGGTCATAGTAGTGACATTAGTTTAGAATAGGGGAAAGGGTTAATAATCAGAGTGTTTAAATAGGTAACTCACAGGCGGGTTATAGGTATAGCAGTATAGTGTAGAACCAACAGATAGTCAATCGTCTGTATAGCGGACTACTTAAATTAGACAATAGCTAAAGTTGTACATGTGACTTGTTGTACATTTATCATATAACTATAAAACCTTAGGAACTGTTCATGTAATAGTTCTGAAATAACAAACTAATAAAAATCTAATTGGCCAAGGAAGTGGCCTTAATAATAAAAAAAAAAAAAATTTATTAACTATAACACCTCTAACCTAAACTCTAAAAAAAACTATACGTATCAGTACTGACCTTACCTCTTCAAAAAAGAAATATTTGAAAATTTACATGTACGTATAATTAACTATACATATACTTGCACTCATATTAAACTATGCATACATATATTATATATATATGTACATATATTCATACTAGTTATAATAAGAATTCCAAATCAACCTTGACTCTAATAAGTTAAAATACTACAGATCTTAATTACCTATTACTATTTTAAGATCTTTAATAACATTAACACCTTTCTATAAAGGGAATATATCAGAATATGTATTTAATTTGCTCTTATTTCTTATCTTTATATTTCTTAAATATTACAGTATATTCTTCATGCACTGCAGGAATCAAGGTATTTATAATGTAATCAATATCAATTTCATTAGTAATTTGACTTATTTTGAATTTGCTATATGTATGTATTGGTGTGTAAATAGTGATAGTATATGGATGATTGTCACGTAATAGTAAGTGAATGATTGTCATGTGATAGATGGGTTGATCAATACGTTATATGCTGATCAAAAAATTTTTATTTGTGGTATCATGTGATAGGTGCACCATGGTGCAGGTGCACCAAAAAAAAAAATCCTAAAAAATTAATAAAACAAATAAAACACTATATTATGTATTAAATTTTTATTTCATATTTTAAAAATTAATATTAAAAATGATAAAAAGTATATACCAATACTGCAAAAATATATACTACAACCTTTATAAATTATTGCTTTTAACTATTTTTTTGTTTAGCAGACTAAATTTTGATGATCTAGTAGTTTAATGTTTATACAACTCTTATTTTCATATATTTCTCTGTAAACTTTGCTAGGTGAAACGCAATATAAAAGTTGTTGGATTCAAATGGATTCAACTGATATTATTAAAGTTTGGTATGAAAACTCTAAAGCTTGCTCAGTATATTTCATATTTCATTGTAACAATAGATTGCACAAGCCCCTCAAAAAGTACAAAAAACACAGAAAAAATTTTTTTTATCAACTGTGATTGGCTAATCAGCATGTGATTTTAATTTTGATTAGTTAGGAGGATTTCAGAAGTGATCTGCACTTTGTGTAACCTAGTATGGTCACCTCTAGACATCAGATAACACTGAATATTACTGGTTTCACTCACTTCACCGACAGTCATTTCACTGAAAGTTCATTTAGCTAACATCACATAGGGTTAGGGTTAGGGTTTTATTAGTTTCAGATATATATTTTTAGTAAATTGTTACTTAGCGTGATGTCAGCTAAATGAGCTGTCGATGAAATGATTTTCGGTGAAATAATACAGATCTGAAATTACAGTATTAAAGATTGAAAAAAAAAATAGGCTTTTGAAAAATTTGGTCAGTGTGTAATGCAAAACGAAAAATAAACTTTGCATAGCCTAAAGTTTTATTAATAGGATTTGTCAAATTTAGATTACATAAAACGTAGTTATATTCAATAGTAATACATCTTTATTAATTGTAAAAGTCGAAAAATATCTATCTATACATTATAAATTTTCATTATCTATATAACATTCTCGCATAGCTAATATCGATTATAATCCATTTCATTTGCTAACGATACTCTGTTATCAGCTATAAAAAATTATATATTTGTGCAACATAAAAAATATTATGATATGAATAATATCTATAAATTATAAAAGTCATCATTTGTTATCGACTTTTTTTGGGGGGACGTGTTCTGAGTATTGTTTGTAAAGGAAAAAATATCTTCTTAATACAAGTAGTTACGTTTTCATCTTAATCTTGAATACAAAGTTTTAAGATTTGAGCAATAATTCATAAGATCGTTCAATCAGCCTGTAAAATTCATGGTAATACTGTATGTATATTTGTAAGAAAGAAATAAATAATGAACCTCTGATAACTCTTACATTGATACAGGCATAAACTCTTGATCTATAATTCCAAACTGGTATATTTCATATACCCAAACATCCATCGCATAAAGGTTAATCTGTAATTCTGCAAAAAATATATATACCTTATTAATAATCTTTTGAAATATCTATACGTTAATCCTGAAAAATTACCTCAACCATGGTTCCTGCCTTAGACGACCACCTATAATGTTAACTTTACAATGGTCTTTTGTAGGGTCTACCTATTACTTGACATCCAAATATGACAATTTTTATGTAGATTTGTAATTCTGCAAAATATATATAAATAATCTTTTAGAAATATCTATACGTTCATTCTGAAAAATTACCTCAACTATAGTTTCTGCTTTAGATGATACTTATAGTGTTTCACTTTTTGAAACTTTACAATAGCATCTGAGGGTTCTTTGTAGGGTCTACTTATTATTGACATCCAATACAACAATTTTCATGTAGTTTTCAGATAATAATCCAGAATATGTTTTTATTATCCTGTTGAGCATATTATGTATTCCAACGATATTTTTAATTTATCAGTTCAGATTTTCTTAGAATATCCTGCTGAAAGTTCATCTGAACTTCACATATAAAGACTGGTCCTGTTGGCAAATCTATTTTCTGACCTGCATAGATATGATCATAATTAGGATCTTGGTCAATACTGCGTTTTTCTTGACTTGCTACTAATTGTTGCTCACATCTAAAATCCAAAAAATGAATTAAAAACACATGATCTGAACCTTGAAGAATTACCAAAGTTTTTAAAACTTCTGCTTATTTTGATTAGTACTCACTCTAAAAGTAGAAGCAACGAAGTGAATAATAAGTTCTCCTTCATTTATCAGGAGTTTAAGGTGCTCTAGATAAGATTTTAATATTATTAAATGCTAATATAATATTGGTACCCTTTTTTGTGCCTTTAACTGTTGCGTTATTATCTCGATATTGTCAAAAAAGTTTGTTTCTGAATGTTCAAGTTTTTCCATACTCTACAAAATATCTTATTTAAAATTATTTACGAGATCATCCTATCTTTTTATCAATTGTTTTTTTTTGTTGGCCATTAAGTCAGACATAAGTCAGACATCGGGGAATTTCATTAAGGTGCTAGGCTTTAAATGACCCAGTATGGTGAACAAATCCAAATTTGTTAATTTAATAAAAAAATTTTTTTTAATATTAATTTTTTATATAGTATAAAGTACTTCACATTCCCATGATTTTTTGAAACCTATCAATTAAATATGTTTTAAAAATAAAGATAACAAAAGACCTTTACGTAACCTACCTTATATTAAAATTAATCAAAAATAATCACAATATTCAAGAAGCTTTATTAGAGGCGAAGTTTATAAGAGATCTAAGGTAGTTAAGCCTATAATTCGAATATACGAAGGTATTTTAGTATCAAAACTAAATACAAACAATACAAAACTAAGATCTAATACTTTTTAGAAAATGCCAAAACAAGTTCGAATAGTGTATATATGACAAGCAGAGTAAAAAGATAAGTTAACTCATTTTTATATGCTTCAAATCTAAAGTTATACGTATTACAAATGAACTTGTTATTTCATAAGTTAAATTTTAATTATTTTAACTATTACAATTTAAAATACAAATAGAAATGATTTAGAAATGATTTAATAAAGTATATTTATTAAATAGATTAAGTAGAAATAATTTACACGCATTTGAAAATAAGTAATGTACAAGCAAATAAGTAATTGAAATCTCATTAATATCTCATATTCTAGTTAGTTGAATTTAACGAAACTTATACTATTCGATTCTTCTCATTAAGATGAATTGAATGGTATAAGTTTCGATAAATTCTAATTGTTAGATTATGAGATATCATTGATTTAGTAAATAAAGATTTTTTAAACATTATTGTAATTTTATAATTTAATTTTATGTAATCGATCATCCCTATCTGAGTAGAGATGCTATGGGCATTTACTAATTTTTACTCCCTTTTCTTCGATTCCTATTGGCTGCAAGTAGATCTCATCTTCGATTAGGTAAAATTGTGACATGATCTTCTGCACTCATTTCTGACTTTCATTTCTAACTTTTACTTCTGACTTTTATTTTATTGGTTAATCCTAACTTGTACTATAGCATGAAATTTGCCTTTACTTTAAATACAGAAATAGTATGATACTTTTCTTTACTTTAAATAGCATAATAACATTCACTAATTAAAGATACTTGCCTTTCATTTTCAACATTTAGTAAATACTGTATATGTACGTCTATGCCAAGAATAAATTACAAAGTACTTATCTTCTAAGTTAAATATGTTCATCTTTTTTTTTATTTTTTTGTACAAAACTTTGACATCTATTTGATGTTAATTTTTGTTTAAAGCTTAATTAAAATAACTACAGAATGCATAAGTTTGAACTTAGAAAAGTTTTATTTATAATTTATTCTATAGTCTTTGATCTAAAAATATTTAATATATAATAATTCATAAATATTGTAGGGCTTGGGCATGTTTATTATAGCGTAATTTGAGCTTAATTCATTGTATATATTAATGCTTTACTGGTTTCCACTACATTGAACCATGAGTTATTATATAATAATCTTGATACAGTATAATTTTGTGTATATATTAAAGAAACTTATTAGATATATACTGTATATAAGTGAAGTAGCAAGTTGTATAGTAATGTATTTCTAATAAATGAAGAATAAAAGTTTTGTTAATAATAAATCATTGCTAGTACATTAAATCGTTTTAGCTAAATCTGCATAGTTTATTTCTTAAGAATTCAAGCTTTATTAAAATTCATTCTTTAGATTTTTATTTTTTATTTATGATACTATATATTTTTAGCTAATTCAGTACATTATATTTTTTAATTTATAACTTTCTTCTTTTCTTGATGCATCTAGATTTAATTCCTCAATTCAGTATAACAGTATAATTAGTGCTAGTTCTGATATATAAATTTAATATATAATATATAACTGTACAAAATTTTTTAATAGTAATTCAATATACATTTGGATAATTGATTTTATAGCATATTGATTTCATTTATAGCATTTAATTAGTAGATACTAATGCATTCAATTGCATATTTAGATAATACTACGTATATCAATTCAAGTTATTCTAATATACAGACATTTAATTATCAATTAACAAAAATAGTTACTATTTTTTTTATTAATTATTTACTATTTATTTATTAATTAATAAATTATTTACATTAGCAAAATTAATATATATTTCTATAGCCTTTATTCTATACACATAAATAGATACTTATATATAAAGATCTCTAAGCGCAGTTCTAAGTCTATATAATAAAATAAATATATATTGAATTCATAATAAAAAAATTAGCCTATAATATATATGTCAAATTCCATTCTAGTAAATATGTACTGAATTGCTAATTCGTGGGAAAATTAAAAATCAAATTTATATTAGTGAAATTATTATTTTCATGTCCTTTATCCTCTACATATAAATGAATATCTAATGCGTAAAGATCTCTAAGTGCAGTTCTAAGTCTATATAATATAAAATCAATATGTATTAAATTCATGAGAAAAAAATCATTCTAATATGCATGCCAAATTTGTGAAGAGTTAGTTAGTCTATACAATATATCCTAAATTCATGAGAAAAAAATTAAAGATCAAATATTGTGAATAAAAAATAATGAAATTGCTACTATACATGCCAAAATTCCTAAATAATTTGTCAAAATAATAGTTCAAACTAGTAAAATATAATGAAGGCCTTTTTTTACTAATCATATCTAAAAATTATAAAAAGAAGAAATTGTAGCATTAAATCGTCTTCAAGTTAAATAAATCAGTATTTCTTTATCTATATCTTTGAATAAATTATTATAAGAAAAATTTTTTATTATCTTAATCTCTTTAATTCTTCCTATGTCATCATAACTAAATGAAGTAATACTTAACAACAAAATTGACAGATTAGTGCTAATTGATATCAATACAATCTTTGATATTGATAAGGAGTCTGATATAAATATTAGTAACAATGAACTTAATAATACTCTTAATAGAATTATAGATGCAATAGATAGTATTGAGAAAGTATAAAAAATAAAAGAAAATAACAAAATCTCACAAGATTCGAATAATATAGAAAAATTCAAAACATTATATCTATCTGTTGATAGTTATGAAGAATGGATCAAAAATCTTAAGAAGGCAAGGCTTAGTTATGTTAGATATGAATATAGAATAAAAGAAAATGACTCTAGAAAAAAATATAAGTAAACAAAATAATAGTACTGCTATCATTATAGCATATACAGTAATGCTGCTGAGAAGAATTTAGTAAAAAGTTATGACTTTCACAAAAAGAAACAAAAAAATTTGAATACAGAAGTTACATTAAAGTAGCATATCCAGTTAATTCAACAATGATAATTTTGCAACACTATTATAAACATATTAATCATCAACTCAGCTAGCTATCAGATTTATACATGCTTTTCTTGTCTAACAATATACACTATTTCATTAGGTAACGTGCTCTAGAGAAACTTGATACTCATAGTATCTAACAACTTTTGCGGCACTGAGAAATCAAACTTCAAGATCATATATAGCTTTTGGAACAAAGAATGGAATCTTAAAATACTAAATTATTATGAGATAGTCTAGTAACAAAAGATAATATTTATACTATTGTACATAATATAATGAAATTGTATATCTATCTTAATAATGATAAATTAAATTCTTTAATAAAGTGGGAAGAGAAATTAAATTGCATGAGTTGGTATTACTTATTTAATCGCAGTGACAATAATAGAGGGTTTATGTTTGCTTTTCAAACAGAAAAGCAAAAAGAACTAATAAAATTTGCAAAAGTGGTATGCTTGGATAGTATGCATAGGTTGAATCAATATAGATACTACCTCTTTACACTTATTATTTGATATTCAGCAACAGGAAGTGGATACTCAGTCATGTTTTTAATTAGCAAATTCAAGTGATCAGTTACCTTAAAAGCTTGGCTTGATTTTTTAAAAGGAAAAATAGAGAATAGAATCTAGATATCTTTATGATCGATGATACTAGTGAAGAGATCAAGGCTGTTGAAGAATGCTTCCTAGATAGCAGTATATTATTATGCTATTTCTATGTTTTGTGCTTCTGGCATTGCAATCTGAATCATCATTGTGGTGCTAATAAAAATCTATACAAAGTAATTATTTGAGAAGATCTTTGGTGACTAATGAAAACTAAAAGATAGAATGATTCAGAGGCGTTAAAACAAGTTACAGAAGCAATTAATAAATGGAGACAAATAAATGTAGAAGCTACAAATAAATTCACAGAATATTTTGAAAAGTGGTAGAAGCCCAAGTATGATAAATAGATAGTTTGCCTAAGAAGGGTTGCTAGAGACATAATGGATACAAATAATTTAATAGAAGCATTCCATCAAAAATTAAAATATGTATATATAAGAAGAAAACTAGATGATGCCTTAATATTGAAGTATACCTACTTGTTGAAATAGTACTCCAGGATTTGGACTTCTCTGTTTTCTTGGATGACTTGAATATCAGAAGGATGAATTCACAAAGACAACAACAACAACTCTGAGAGATTGAAGGAGCAAAAAAAATTAATCAGAACAATATCTACAATCTTAGCTCAGATATTTGAATTATCTATTCTGACTAATGCTGATATTGAATATACTATTAGAAGATGTAATGAAGAAGATAATTTAAACACTAATTTATATGTTTGTACTTGCTGTGATTTCAAGGTATACCAATTACCATGCAAGTATATATTTGCTTTGCTAAATCAGCTTCAGATCTCTGAAGATAATATAGAAGAAAATAATTAACATATCTAACTTCAATATCTTATGAAAATTAATATTTTTAGTTCTTCTAGCTCTTCTCATTTACCTGTGAATTATACTAATACAGAAAAAAATAAGTTAGAAAAATTACAAGAA